TATTGGGCAAATTATAAATTCAAATAATAGGTCTGTTGCGGATTGGTAACTCTTATTTCTGTATCTTAACTAATTTTCAAAGCAACATCTCATCTGAAATCATTTGAAAAACCATGTCTATGTACTTTATTGGTCTATAATGGAACGTTTACGAAACCCAACTATACTGCAGCACTAATGTCCAGTTTTAGAAGATCATCGTCCAGTTCAGCCGTAAGGCCTTCAAAATGGTTTACAGTTTGTGCTAAAATTGTGCTGAAATCTCTTCTCTGTTCTGTCAGGGCTGGTGGGTCTGTCTCTGTCCTATGCACTGTCCATCACCAATCTGCTGTCAGGCCTGATTTTCAGCTTTGCGCAGACAGAGATGCAGTTGGTGAGCATAGAGCGTACAGAGGAGTATTCCACCAACATCCCGCAGGAGCCTCAAGAAGCCAGCACTGAGGTTAGAGGAGTGATATATTTACCCCAAAAACTGAATCAGGGCCAAGTGCGATTAAAGTTTCACAACCTTTTTTGGTAGAATATTTTAAAGGAATAGCTCACACAAAATTTAAAATTAGCTGAAAATGTACTTACCCTCAGGCCGTCCAAGATGTAGATGAGTTTGTTTCTTCATTGGAACAGATTTGGAGAAATGTAGCATTGCATCACTTGCTCACCAATGGATGCTCTGCAGTGAATGGGTGCCGTCAGAATGAGAGTCCAAACAGCTAAGAAAAAAATAACAATAATCCACACCACTCCAGTCCATCAATGAATGTCTTGTGAAGCAAAAAGATGCTTGTTTGTAAGAAACAAATCCATTATTAAGATGTTTTTAACTTGCAAACTGTTGCATACAGCTAAATTATGAGTCCTCATATCCATAATATTGCTTTCTCCAGTTGATTATGACAAACACGCAGCTTGTGGATTACTTGTAGATTATTGTGATGTTTTTGGACTCTCATTCTGACGGCACCCATTCCCTGCAGAGGATCCTTTGGTGAGCAAATGATGCAATGTAATATTTCTCCAAATTTGTTTCTTTTGAAGAAACAAACTCATCTACAGCTTGGATGCCCTAATGGCCTATTTATTTATTTCAAAATCTGAAGTATTGCTTGTATTTCAATAGTAAACCCCAGGTTGTGCGACCTTGTATATTATTCAGAATGTCATTAAAGTGTAACACAAAACCTTATCATGATACTCTACATCTGCAGGTTCTAGAATCGTGGCCTGAAAAGGGCCGGGTTGAGTTTGTGGGTGCTGTGTTGGTGTACCGGCCGGGCTTGCCTAACGCTCTTGATGGGGTCAGCCTGGAGGTATTACCTGGTGAGAGGGTGGGCATTGTAGGGCGTACAGGCTCAGGGAAATCCTCATTGTTCCTCGCCCTTTTCCGTATGGTGGAGCTGAACCAGGGTCAAATCCTGCTGGATGGAGTCGACATCAGCTCGGTTAGACTTAGTAACCTGCGGTAAGGGTTAAGTCACTGTATGTTTGATGGTTTTCTTAGTAAGATCAATGTGTGATCAAAAGATCAAAAGAGATGGTAAAGACATTTATAATGTTACAGAAGATATCTATTTCAAATAAATGCTGTTCTATTGAACTTTCTATTTCTTATAGAATCCTGAAAAAATTATCACAGTTTCCACAAAAATATTAAGCAGCACAACTGTTTTCAACATTGATAATAAACAGAAATATTTCTTGAGCACCATTTTAGAATGATTTCTGAAGGATCATGCGGCACTGAAGACTGGAGTAATGATGCTGAAAATTGAGCTTTGCCATCACAGGAATAAATTACATTGTAAAATATATTAAAATAAATAAACTGCATTTCGGAATATTACGGTTTTTACTGTATTTTTGATCAAATAAATGCAGCCTTGGTCAGCATAAGAGACTTAAAAACATTAAAAAAAATACAAACCACAAACCTTTAAAGGGGTCATATGATGCTGCTAAAAAGAACATTATTTTGTGTATTTGGTGTATTGAAATGTGTTTATGCGGTTTAAGGTTAAAAAAACACATTTTCCACATACTGTACATTATTGTTTCTCCTCTATGCCCCGCCTTTCTGAAACGCGTCGATTTTTACAAAGCTCATCGGTCTGAAAAGCGAGGTGTGCTCTGTGACGGAAATGTTATGCCCCTTACCATATTGTGATGCACTGTCCGGTCGGAGCGACGAGACAAAAACATTAAAACCCGTTATTAAACGAGGCATTTGTTGCATCCAGTCGGGACATAATAACTGATTATAATGAATTACACTGTCTTTTTACGCATTGCATTGCATCGCGCCGCGTAAACAAAACTATGTCTGCAACATGGCGGCGGCGGCAACAACACTACAGCGAGAATCAAAGTTACACCTTTTTTCTTTGCGTGAACATTTGGGCGGCATTATGCAAATCTTCCCACACAGTGACATAGACATGTGGGGGCGTGTTTACGAGGCGTTTTAGGTAGGCGTGGCTGACTCTTAACTTTTATAAAGAATATCTCTTTGTGTTTGAGACTTTAGTCTTTGCAACTTTAGGGATCTTATCTATTCACGAACAGCTTGTAACACTCCAAAGAGAAAGGAAAACTTGAAATCGCATCATATGACACCTTTAAACATTTCACATTATGTCAAAAAAAATCACTGGTAAGTAGAAGAACTGCAAATATTTCTTACGACAAAGACTCATGAGATAAAAAGTGTTCATTGTGTTTTTAATATGGTCTCTGGCTGCAAATAATACGAATTTGTTATGTTTGGGTTGCCCTCTATAGATCAAAGCTGGCCATCATCCCTCAGGATCCCTTCCTGTTCTCCAGCACAGTGCGAGAGAACCTTGATCCCCATGGCCGTCATCCAGACTTCCGGTTGCTAGATGCCCTTGAGCAATGCCACCTGGGAGATGTAGTGCAGAGGATCGGTTAGAGTCAAACACTTTTGATTGTTGTGTCTTACTTGATAGGATTTATCTAGGGCAGTGGTTCCCAACCCTGGTCCTGGAGGCACCCCAACACTGCTCATTTTGCATGTCTCCTTTCTCTGACACACCAATTTCAGGTCTTGGAGTCTCTACTAATGAGCTGATGACCTGAATCAGTTGTGTTTGATTAAGGAGACGTGCAAAACGTGCAGTGTTGGTGGGGTGCCTCCAGGACCAGGTTGGGAACCACTGATCTAGGGCATGAGAAAATGCTGTCTTTAATATTCTTTTTTTTTTTTTTTTGCTTTGTCTTTGTCTCCCATTACAGGTGGCCTGGATTCGGAGGTTGGAGAGAGGGGAAAGTCTCTGTCTGTGGGCCAGAGGCAGCTGCTGTGTCTTGCCCGTGCTCTTCTTACAGAGGCTAATGTATAAAACTAATGTAGAAGTACAACATAAACCATGTCAAACAAACAAGCTTGACTTTGTACTTTAATGTTATTTATGTTTCAATAGATTTTATGCATTGATGAGGCCACAGCAAGCGTCGACCATAAGACTGACATGCTTCTGCAGAAAACTATCAGAGAAAAATTCAAAGATAAAACTGTTCTTACCATCGCCCACAGGTATCAAATTGCTTGTATACTTGCATATGATTTATATTTGATTTTTCTTTTAATTGAACTTTGAGTATGGAATGAAAATAAAGAAGGGAAAATCCCTTTATAGCGATGCAAATCTGATTTTCTTTTAAAAAACCAATTCTAAACAGCAACACTGCAAAGTGCACAGTTCTGTGAGGCATTTCTTAAATAAAACAAAGCGGGTAGTTTTCACATTGTAAAAGTATATTTGCAAATATTTTATGATTGTTAATTCCCTTAAAATACTATAATTCTCTCTAACCTTTGTGCTGAACAGTCAAGCATTTTAGGTAACATTAACATTACTAGTAAGTGCATGATTAGTTTTAAGAGAAGCTGCCAAAGAAAATAGTTCATCACTGCTTTGAAAGGTTAATAAATTCATATTATTAATTGAGTTTTCAGGGTTTATTTAGTTTTTGGGTGTCTTGTTGTTTGGTTGATCTGGTAGTGACTACTTTTTTAATTAACGTAGCATGTTAAGTTAAAACACCTTTCAAGAACAATTCTGTTATCATACAAACCCAACCAAGTCTTTCTTATCCCACAGACTGAATACAATTATGGACTCTGACAGAGTGCTGGTGATGCATGCTGGGAAGGTGGTTGTACATTAACATGATCATTTCTTTGGGGACCACTTTTTCTGAATAATTTTACTGTCTATTACTCTGTCATCAAAAATAATGTTTCTGAAGCCCACTTTTAGGTCCTCTACCTGTAATTTGTGTTTACTGTAAATATACAGGTTAATAGATCATATACTGTAGATGATGGTTAGTAATTAGATGTTTTTGAAACCTGTTTCAATGAAATTAGACAATTAAATCATTTTAATAAATGGTTGAGCAGATGATCAAAATATGTGCCCTTACAGATGATCATGGGTGCATCTGGTACCTTTACGATTTCGCATGTTTAATACAGAGGGTGTGGTTATTTAGCAAGCACAGGTGTCCAGCTGTTTTTGTTATGTATGACTATGCAGCACTCGCACAGGTTATGCTGATTTAATTGTGTTTTTACTGTCATTTAAGAGTGGTTTAATGTATTAATATTACAAACTGCACTTAAGTTGGGTATTAAAGTATTGCACAGGGACAGTTATAAGATATTTAAAGTTGTGAATTTGTACATTAACATGATCATTTCTTTGGGGACCACTTTTTCTGAATAATTTTACTGTCTATTACTCTGTCATCAAAAATAATGTTTCTGAAGCCCACTTTTAGGTCCTCTACCTGTAATTTGTGTGTACAGTGTTTACTGTAAATATACAGGTTAATAGATCATATACTGTAGATGATGGTTAGTAATTAGATGTTTTTGAAACCTGTTTCAATGAAATTAGACAATTAAATCATTTTAATAAATGGTTGAGCAGATTATCAAAATATGTGCCCTTACAGATGATCATGGGTGCATCTGGTACCTCTACGATTTCGCATGTTTAATACAGAGGGTGTGGTTAACAAGGTGAGGTCTGTTCAGTTTCCTTTGCCTGGCCTAACCTGTTCCTAACGCCCTCTTGTTACACTATCCCTGAACAATTCCTTGAATACCTCAGTTTCATCAGTCTGCCAGTGGGATAAATGCAGATGTTTCATTAAGCATTAACGTCTTTAAGGATGAATTGCACACCAAGATAGATGCCCTTGCGTCAACTGGCAAAGTGTAAAGTAAATTTAAAAGAAGTTAGTGTTGTTTGCTCAGTCTTGCTTCATTTTGAGGCAAGGGTTTTTTTCATTCAGTGATGTTCATAGTTGTTCAGTGATGTTCACAATTACATGTGTCAATAATAATTAGCACTGAAACGTGGGTGTCTTGCTGCCGCTGAATCATTTCTTTTGCATCAACAGGTTTGAGATTTGGAGGCTTTTCTTCACTGTAAATATATACTAGTGAAATGGTATGATATCTTTATTTTATCCAATTTGTATCAACTATATTTTGTGTACGCATTTTGTGTAATCTATCAAATATATTTTTAAGTTCATGTGCTTGCCATTATTAGGAATAAATGCTAAATAAATTAATTAAATATGAGTAGCGCAGTTGGCAGAGGTTTATGTTTATCACAAAAAATCTTTAATTTCATAATTTTTTATCAAATATATTTTTAAGTTCATGTGCTTGCCATTATTAGGAATAAATGCTAAATAAATTAATTATGAGTAGCGCAGTTGGCAGAGGTTTATGTTTATCACAAAAAATCTTTAATTTCATAATTTTTATAATTTAAAATTTTTATAATTTTAAATTTTTCTATGCATGCATTTAATTTCAAGAAATATGAAAAAAAAAATACACCATGATATTATCTTGTAACTTGCAGGCTCTTCGAAGAAGCCTCTCTGACAGCCTGCTACTTGAAGTTGACAATGTGTCTGTAGAGGGTTTGGAATACACAGACCTGCACTTACATGAAGGTACAGTTTCGTGACTGTTTGAATATGATTTTTTTTCCATGTCATTGTATATTAATTGAGCCTTATTGCTGGTTCACTTTTACTGTGGAGAAAATGGCTTGCCATTAATACTGATATGGTGGAAATTTAAGGATAACTGTTTATAATAGACTAAATTTCACGCTACATTACATTTCCATTTAAGATGATGAAATTGTGGGTGCCAGTGGTCAGTTTGAACTAAAGAGGAATGAACAAAAGAAGAATGAAGCTGTGGACATTTTAAAGTTGATTGATAATGACAAGGGGATTACGAAGCATGGTATGAAATCCAGCAAGAGCTTGGAAAGCCTGGATATCAAAGCTCCAAATGAGGTCTGTGCACATCACATTGACCTTTTTTTTCTCATGAAACCCCCAAACAAATTAATTTACGATTCAAATGTTTCAACAGGTGTGGAAAGATTCATATGACAAGCTCTTCAATGCTAAAGTCAGAAAATTCATGAAAGGAAATAAAACTGTTAAGGAAAACAGACATGGCATACACAATGGACCAGTGACAACCCAAACACTTGACCGCAAAAGAGGTCAAGTAAATGTGTCGTCTTTACTTGAGAATGCCGATCGAATGCGTCTCACTCCATATGAAACAGAATTTGACAATCAAGTGGGGCCATTCATGGTCCATTATGATGCCAAGGATTCTACAGGTGAATATGACTCTGAAATGTTAGTACAAGGATCTGACCTGCTGAGATCAGCAAAGATCAAAACCAATATTTCAAGAGATGATCCATCGCATCATTCCACAAAGAACTTGACCAGTGTTGATAGGGAAATCAACATACGTGGTGGAACATATACAGATCCAAAAATAGATGTTGGTATTAATGCACCAGATTCAAATCTTACACTGACAAATACCCAAGGATCTCCTGTGATGCACCTCACAAAAGGACATTTTAAAGGCCCAAAAGCAGTGCTTAATTCTTCTGATATGGATATGGATGTACCATCGGTTAATGTCAAGAAGCCAAAATTTAAACTGCCAAAGTTTAGCCTCTCTGGAAACAAGAACACAGACATCAGTTATGATGGAAGTATGAAGGGGTCAAAACTGGCATACCCTGAAGTAGCTGCAGGTCTTAATGATTCTGATATACAAATTGATGGACCAAAGGCTGATTTCAAAGTTCTAAAAACAGACCTTCCAGACATGGAAATGTCATCTGGAAAACTGAAAACGACCACTTTCAGCATGCCTAATTTTGACCTGTCAGGACCCAAAATAAAAACATCTGACTATGATCTGTCCGCTCCCAAATTTAAGACAGACTTTGATTCACCAGACATCAACATAAGAGGTCATAAGCCAGATATCACAGGACCTGACATGGATGTTGATATTCCTGAAGGTACATATAAAGGACCAAATTTCAAGAAACCCAATCTTGACTTAAATGCACGTGATCTCGGCATAAATGTTCCTTCTGGTAACCTTAAACTGCCAAAAGTTGGCTTCTCTGGTAGCAAGCCAGAAGAAACTGATCTTAAAATCAAATCTCCAGACCTGAATCTCAAAAGCCCCAAAATTAAGGGAGGAATCGATGACATGGACCTGACTCTGCCTCAAACTGATGTGAAAGGCCCGAACCTAGATATCAAATCATCTGAAGTTGATGTTAATGGCCAATCAGGTAAATTGAATATGCCAAAGGTAAAGATGCCCAGTTTTGGCCTGTCAGGTTTGAAGGGGCCACATATGAACATGGATGCTGACATTGATAAGCCAGACCTCAATCTGAGTGCATCAACTCCCAAACTAAATGCAGGGATAAACAGTCCTGATATTGACATTCATGGACCTAATGTTGATCTCAAAGGTCCAAAAACAGATCTTACGCTTCCAGACATGAACATGCCATCTGGAAAAATGAAAAGGCCAACTTTCAAGATGCCTGATTTTGGTCTCTCAGGACCTAAAATGAAAAAGCCTGACTATGATCTGACGACTCCAGACATGGATCTTTCGGCCCCACAGTTTAAGGCAGATTTTAATTCACCAGATATCACGGCACCTGACGTGAATGTTGATTTCCCTAAAGGTAAAATTCAAGGACCAAATTTGAAGACACCCAATATTAACATGAATGCACCTGACCTCAACATAAATGCTCCTTCGGGTAAACTGAAGCTGCCAAAATTTGACATCTCTGGTAAAAAAGCAGAAGGGCCAAATCTTAAAATCAAATCTCCAAACCTGAATCTCAAAAGCCCCAAAATAAAGGGAGGAATCGATACCCCAGACATGGATCTGACTCTGCCTCAAACTGATTTGAAAGGCCCAAACCTAGATATCAACTCACCAGATATTGATGTCAATGGTCCTTCAGGTAAATTTAATATGCCAAAGGTAAAGATGCCCAGTTTTGGCCTGTCAGGTTTGAAAGGACCACATATGAACATGGATGCTGACATTGATCAGCCCGACCTTAATTTGAGCACATCAACTTCCAAACTAAATGCAGGGTTAAATAGTCCTGATATTGATGTACATGGACCTAATATTGATATCAAAGGCCCGAAAACAGATCTTACACTTCCTGATATGAACATGCCATCTGGTCAAATTAAAGTTCCCACTTTCAAGAAGCCTGATTTTAGTCTCTCAGGACCCAAAATAAAGACTCCTGATTATGATCTAAAAACCCCTGAAATGGATCTGTCCGCTCCAGAGTTTAAGGCAGACTTTGATTCGCCAGATATCACAACCCCAGACTTGAATGTTGATATACCTAAAGGGAAAATTAAAGGACCAAATTTCAAGAAACCCCATCTTGATGTGAATGCACCTGACCTTGACATAAATGCCCCTTCAGGTAAACTGAAACTGCCTAAGTTTGGTATCTCTGGTAGTAAGCCAAAAGGGCCTGATCTTAAAATCAAATCACCAGACCTGAATCTCAAAAGCCCCAAATTTAAGGGAGGAATCAATGCTCCAGATATGGATCTGACTCTGCCTCAAACTGATTTGAAATGCCCAAATCTAGATATCAAATCACCTGATATTGATGTCAATGGCCCTTCCGGTAAATTGAATATGCCAAAGCTAAAAATGCCCAGTTTTGGCCTGTCAGGCTTGAAAGGGCCACATACGAAGATTGATGCTGACATTGATCAGCCCGACCTTAATCTGAGTGCAACAACTCCCAAACTTAATGCAGGGATAAATGGTCCAGATTTTGATATTCATGGACCTGATGCTGATTTCAATGGTCCAAAAACAGGCCTTACGCTTCCAGACATAGACATGCCACCTGGAAAACTGAAAATGCCCACTTTCAAGATGCCTGATTTTGGTCGTTCAGCATCAAAAATAAAGACACCTGAATATGATCTGAAGACTCCTGAAATGGATCTGTCAGCTCCGAAGTTTAAGGCAGACTTTGATTCCCCAGATCTCAACATTGGAGGTCATAAGCCAGATATCACAGCACCTGACATGAATGTTAATTTCCCAAAAGGAAAAATGAAAGGACCAAATTTCAAGAAACGCGATCTTGACATAAATGCACCTGATCTGAAGGGGAACATAAATTCCCCTTCAGCTAAACTGAAGCTGCCAAAATTTGGCTTCTCAAGTAGCAAGCCAAAACGGCCTGATCTTAAACTCAAATATCCAAAGCTCAATCTCTCTAGCCCAAAAATGAAGGGAGGAATCAATACCCCAGACATGGATCTGACTCTGCCTAAAACAGATTTAAAAAGCCCGAATGTAGATATCAACTCACCTCATATTGATGTCAATGGCCCTTCAGGTAAATTTAATATGCCAAAGCTAAAGATGCCCAGTTTTGGTCTGTCAGGTTTAAAAGGGCCACGTATGAATGTGGATGCTGACATTGACAAGCCTGACCTTAATCTAAGTGCATCAACTCCCAAACTAAATGCAGGGATAAATAGTCCTGATATTGACATTCATGGACCTAATGTTGATCTCAAAGGCCCGAAAACAGATCTTAAACTTCCAGACATGGACATGCCATCTGGAAAAATGAAAATGCCAACTTTCAATATGCCTGATTTTGGTCTCTCAGGACCCAAAATAAAGACTCCTGACTATGATCTGAAGACCCCAGAAATGGATCTTTCGGCTCCAAAGTTTAAGGCAGACTTTAATTCACCAGATATCACAGCACCTGACATGAATGTAGATTTCCCTAAAGGTAAAATTAAAGGACCCAATTTCAAGAAACCCAATCTTGATATGAATGCACCTGACCTTGACATCAGTTCCCCTTCAAGTAAATTGAAATTGCCCAAATTTGGTTTTTCTGGTAGTAAGCCAAAAGGCCCAGATCTTAAAGTCAAATCTCCAGACTTGAATCTCAAAAGCCCCAAAATAAAGGGAGGAATCGATACCCCAGACATGGATCTGAATCTGCCTCAAACTGATTTAAAAGGCCTGAACCTAGATATCAAATCACCTGATATTGATGTTAATGGTCCATCAGGTAAACTGAATATGCCAAAGGTAAAAGTGCCCAGTTTTGACCTGTCAGGTTTGAAAGGGCCACATATGAACATGGATGCTGACATTGATAAGCCAGACCTCAATCTGAGTGCATCAACTCCCAAACTACATGCAGGGTTAAATAGTTCTGATATTGATGTACATGAACCTAATGTTGATCTCAAAGGTCCGAAAACAGACCTTACTTTTCCAGATATTGACAAGCCTTCAGGAAAAATGAAAATTCCCAATTTAAAGATGCCCAAGTTTGGTGTCTCAGGACCAAAAGTAAATACGCCTGACTATGATTTGAAGACCCCTGAAATGGATCTGTCAGCTCCAAAGTTTAAGGCAGACTTTGATTCTCCAGACCTAAATGTCAAAATCCCCAAAATAAAGGGAGGAATCGATACCCCAGACATGGATCTGACTCTGCCTCAAACTGATTTGAAAAGCCTAAACCTAGATGCCAAAACACCTGATATTGATATTAATGACCCTTCAGGTAAATTTAATATGCCAAATCTAAAGATGCCCAGTTTTGGCCTGTCAGGTTTAAAAGGGCCAAATATGAATGTGAATGCTAACATTGATCAGCCCGACCTTAATTTGAGCACATCAACTCCCAAACTACATGCAGGGTTAAACAGTCCTGATATTGATGTACATGGACCTAATGTTGATCTCAAAGGTCCGAGAACAGACCTTACTTTTCCAGATATTGACAAGCCTTCTGGAAAAATGAAAATGCCCAATTTAAAGATGCCTAAGTTTGGTGTCTCAGGACCAAAAGTAAAGATGCCTGACTATGATCTAAAGACCCCTGAAATGGATCTGTCGGCTCCAAAGTTTAAGGCAGAATTTGATTCCCCAGACCTCAACATTAAAGGTCATAAGCCAGATATCACAGGTCCAGACATTAATCTTGATTTCCCTAAAGGTAAATTTAAAGCACCAGACTTAAAGGCACCCAATCTTGACATGAATGCACCTGACTTCGACATCAATGCCCCTTCAGGTAAATTGAAGCTGCCAAAATTTGGGTTTTCAGGTAGTAAGCCAAAAGGCCCAGATCTTAAAATCAAATCTCCAAAGGTGAATCTCAAAAGCCCCAAAATGAAGGGAGGAATAGATGCCCCAGACATGGATCTGAATCTGCCTCAAACTGATTTGAAAGGCCCAAACCCAGATATCAATTCACCTGATATTGATGTTAATGGCCCTTCAGGTAAATTTAATATGCCAAAGCTGAAGATGCCCAGTTTTGGCCTGTCAGGTTTGAAAGGACCACGTATGAACGTGGATGCTGATATTGATCAGCCCGACCTCAATCTGAGCACATCAACTCCCAAACTAAATGCAGGAATAAATAGTCCTGATATTGATGTACATGGACCTAATGTTGATCTCAAAGGCCCCAAAACAGACTTTATTCTTCCAGACATTGACAAGCCTTCTGGAAAAATGAAAATGCCCACTTTAAAGATGCCCAAGTTTGGTGTTTCAGGGCCAAAAATAAAGACGCCTGACTATGATTTGAAGACCCCTGAAATGGATCTGTCAGCTCCAAAGTTTAGGGCCGACTTTGATTCTCCAGACCTGAACATTGAAGGTCATAAAACAGATATCACAGGTCCAGACATGAATCTTGATTTCCCTAAAGGTAAATTTACAGCACCAGACTTAAAGACACCCAATCTTGACATGAATGCCCCTTCAGGTAAATTTAAGCTGCCAAAAATTGGGTTTTCAGGTAGTAAGCCAAAAGGCCCAGATCTTAAAATCAAATATCCAAAGCTGACTTTCAAAAGCCCCAAAATGAAGGGAGGAATAGATGCCCCAGACATGGATTTGACTCTGCCTCAAACTGATTGGAAAGGCCCAAACCTAGATTTCAAATCACCTGATGTTGATATTAATGGCCCATCAGGTAAATTGAATATGCCAAAGTTAAAGATGCCAAGTTTTGGCCTGTCAGGTATGAAAGGGCCAAATATGAATGTGGATGCTGACATTAATAAGCCTGACCTTAACTTGAATGCATCAGCTCCTAAACTAAATGCAGTGTTAAGTGGTCCTGATATTGACTTAAATGGACCCAATGCTGATTTTAAAGGCCCAAAAACAGACCTTACTCTTCCAGACATTGACAAGCCTTCTGGAAAAATGAAAATGCCCACTTTAAAGATGCCCAAGTTTGGTGTCTCAGGGCCAAAAATAAAGACGCCTGAATATGATTTGAAGACCCCTGAAATGGATCTGTCAGCTCCAAAGTTTAAGGCCGACTTTGATTCCCCAGACCTGAACATTGAAGGTCATAAGCCAGATATCACAGGGCCAGACATGAATCTTGATTTCCCTAAAGGTAAATTTACAACACCAGACTTAAAGACACCCAATCTTGACATGAATGCACCTGACCTTGACATAAATGGCCCTTCAGGTAAATTTAAGCTGCCAAAAATTGGCTTCTCGGGTAGCAAGCCAAAAGCTCCAGATCTGAATCTCAAAAGCCCCAAAATGAAGGGAGGAATCAATACCCCAGACATGGATCTGACTCTGCCTCAAACTGATTTGAAAGGCCCAAACCTAGATATCAATACACCTGATATTGATGTTAATGGCCCTTCAGGTAAATTGAATATGCCAAAGTTAAAGATGCCCAGTTTTGGCTTGTCAGGTTTGAAAGGGCCACATATGAACATGGATGCTGACATTGATCAGCCCGACCTTAATTTGAATGCATCAACTCCTAAACTAAATGCAGGGATTAATGGTCCTGATTTTGACATTCATGGACCTAATGCTGATTTCAAGAGTGCAAAAACCAACCTTGCATTTCCAGACATGGACATGCCTTCTGGAAAACTGAAAATGCCCACCCTCAAGATGCCTGATGTTGATTTCTCAGGACCCAAACTCAAAACATCGGGCTATGATCTGAATACCCCTAAAATGGATCTGTCAGCTCCAGAGTTTAAGGCAGACTTTGATTCACCAGACCTCAGCATCAGAGGTCATAAGTCAGATATCGCAACCCCAGACTTGAATGTTGATTTACCTAAAGGTAAAATGAAAGAACCAAATTTCAAGAAACCCAATCTTGATTGGAACACTCCAGACTTTGACATTGATGCACCTTCAAGCAAATTTAAACTGCCAAAGCTGGGCTTCTCAGACAGCCAGCCAGAAGGACCTGATCTTAAAATCAGATCTCCAAAGCTGAATCTCAAAAGCCCAAAAATAAAGGGAGGAATCGATACCCCAGACATGGATCTGACTCTGCCTCGGTCTGATTTGAAAGGCCCAAACCTAGATATCAAATCACCTGATATTGATTTTAATGGCCCTTCAGGTAAAATGAATATGCCAAAGTTAAAGATGCCCAGTTTTGGCCTGTCAGGTTTGAAAGGACCACATATGAATATGGATGCTGACATTGATCAGCCCAACCTTAATCTGAGCGCATCAGCTCCCAAATTAAATGCTGGGATTAATCGTCCTGATATTAACATTCATGGTCCTAATGTTGATATTAAAGGTCCAAGAACAGACCTTACACTTCCTGACATGGACATGCGATCTGGACAAATGAAAATGCCTGCTTTTAAGATGCCTGATATTGGTTTCTCAGCACCCAAAATAAAGACACCTGACTATGATCTAAAGACACCTAAAATGGACCTCTCGACTCCGAAGATTAAGACAGAATTTCTTTCCCCAGACTTCAGTATCAGAGGTCATAAGCCAGATATCACAGCCCCAGATATGAATGTTGATTTCCATAAAGGCAAAATAAAAGGACCAAATTTCAAGAAACCCAGTTTTGATGTGAACGCACCAGACTTTGGCATTGATTCTCCTTCTGGGAAAATGAAACTCTCAGGAAACATGCCAGAAGGAACAGATGTTAAATTCAGCTCTCCAAAGATGAATTTTAAAACCCACCAAATTAAAGGAGGAATTGATAGCCCTGATTTTCATGGGCTGAGGTCTGATGTTGATTTTGGTACCTATACACAAATGCATGCTAACAGCTTTGCAGTCCCAAGAGGTAAAACAAAGGCAACCATAATGTATGGTCTTGATGCTCCCTCAAGAGACTTCAGAATACCGACACATCAGAAATATAGTGCCCCAGAATTTAACATGCAGGACCCCTATTATGACTTGAACAGAGACATGGAAGTTTCAGGAAAAGCTCAGTGGGCTACAATGCAAAAACATGTCTCTGGCCAGACCAGAATCTCTGGAGTGGGTCCAACATCTTCAGATGTTTACTACAATGATATGTCTGGGGCATTCAGGTCAGGACATCATAAAACAAAAGCAAGTAGCTTTGATATGGATGGCAACTGGAACAATATATCAGTGCCTAAACTTCAAGTTTCAAGAAATAGAGAAAATGTAGCTGTGAGAAATTCAAATATGGGAATGAATACCATGCAAAGATCAGGTGATAATGCAGGTTATTATAGGAAGATGGTTCCTAGACGTTATTATTACACTACTGATGATATATGCTACACTTACAAAGGGATGCCTAGAAGAGATGGATGGGGCAACGGGCAAATTGACCATAGTCGCAGACAGACAATGAGATATCTGCAAATACATGCGATGGATCTCGAGGTTCCAGAAAGAACTTTGAAAGCATCGAAATTTAACGTTCTTAAACTAATGTAGGATCATTAAAAGAAAGGGATGTGGGAGACAAGAATGAGCTTGTCCTTAGCAATCATGTTTACAGGGCTGATAAGAACTAATAGCATATTTAAAACTATAAAAACTTAAGAGTAGATACTGTAAATGTGCTTGAGCAAACTTAAAACTGATGAACAAGCCTTTCCCTAAAGGAGATGTTATTGAAATGTTAGCATAAACTTGCACTTACAGTATCATAGATCATTAGGTTATAACTTTTTTAAAGAGTTTATGTACTATATGTATATGACAAAATATGTGACAATATTATGTGGATCTTGCCTGATTAAATGTTGTAAATCATATATATTTTGTAAATTATGTAAAATTCTACAGTAATGTATAAATACAGTGCGGATGAAATATACACATGTAAAAAGTTTTGCCTGGAAAACGGTTTGTTTGGATATCTCGTTTCTTGCCAACTATTTGTTTAGTTTTTGCAAATTTTTAGTGCTCATTGATACAATAAGGTACACGTAGGGGGATTTGTTTTGATGGATGTATATAAATCATTTGTGAAATATTCCTACTGACATTGTTGCTTCAAGATACAAAAGCAGTTGTTGTAGAACACTTCAAATGTTATGCAATTAAAATTTACATTAGTGTACCATTTTCTGAAGTGGTTATTTTGAAAACCTTGCTATAAAGAGTATTTGCTCATTATGACAAAATCTGCATATACACTCTTAAAAATAAAGGTGCTTCACGATGCCATAGAAGAAACCTTCCATAAAGAACCTTTAACATCTGAAGAACCTTGCTGTTTCACAACAGGTTCTTTGTGGTGAAAGAAGGTTCTTCAGATTATAAAAAGGTAAGAAAGAGATGGTTCTTTGAAGAACCGTTGACTGAATGGTTCTTTGTGGAACCAAAAATGGTTCTTCTATGGCATCGCTGTGAAGAACATTTTAAGCACCTTTATTTTTAATAATGTAATGTAAGAGTAGTCAGTCCAACCTGGCAAAACTGTTTTGCATACAGAAAGTGGACAGCAGTGTTGGTATTCTTTATAAACATTCTAGCCCATGTGTTTAAGAATTTACCATAAAATTAGGCTATTGTTTGACATGAAAATCTCAAAAGATTCACACTTAAAAGATAGCAAATTAGAGCAAAGAAATGTACGATTAAAAATTTCCCATGGACTTATTTGCATTCTAAATTGTGATTGGTCTTGTGTCTGTCATCTATTTGCATACTGAACACATTTTGCACTTGTGTGCTGCTGACTTGTCTGTTTTTGGAGGTGTGGCCTGGAGGGTGGAGCTTCATCAGGTGTTGTTGTGATTGTGGGCATGTGTTGGAGCCCCAGGGTCATGTGTTAGTCCTGTTCTCTCGCTCCTTCACTATACATCATTTACCTGAGATACCAATGGATAATTCTAACTTATATAAGCGATGTTAAAAATACTTGTAGGCTAAAGTCATGGAAATTAATAGGTCAAAAACTCTCCTTCACTGTACATGATTTACCTGAGATACCAATGGATAATTCTAACTTATATAAGTGATGTTAAAAATACTTGTAGGCTAAAGTCATGGAAATTAATAGGTCAAAAACTCTCCTTCGCTGTACATCATTTACCTGAGATACCAATGGATAATTCTAACTTATATAAGTGATGTTAAAAATACTTGTAGGCTAAAGTCATGGAAATTAATAGGTCAAAAAGCGTTAAAACTCTGAATCAAGTATGTAGCCTATAGGCTTGGGTCTAAATGAGCGAAACCGTTTTCAAATTCAAGTTTCAAAAGCAAATCGACTTATAGACCTTTTGTTGTTCACAATTACTTGTTGAAAATATGATTATTTTGACTTTATGGTTAATTTGACAAATTATTAGAAATAGGCTACCATAAAAGTTCCTGCAGTCACCAGTGTCGTGAAATAAATAAATAAAACAACGAGGTTAGTTACAATAAACTACTGTTGAGTTTTGGCAGATGCTACAATCTGATTACCACTGCAGCGTGACGCTGAAAGGTTAGCCGTGTAGATGCAGGTCTTGCTTGCTTTCCGGATGCAATCGGATTTTTTCGGCCTCGTGCCTCCATTTTGTACCGACTCGGTTATTTCCGGGATTTCGTTGAACTGGGTTCGCTAAAACCCAGAGGTCCACCGCTGGAAGAGTACCGCCCTCAAACACTGGGCAGCAATGTTAACAGCAACAAGACATCCGGTTTAGTGAATCTTTGCCTTTCGTGCTTTCGTTTCACGCTGTGAACTGTTGGGAATAAGTTTACAGAGTTGGCAACAACCAGCCATTATGACAGCGGACCAATGTAAGCTTTCTTGCGACTAGTTACCAGTTTTCGGTGGCCAGTCAGTCAGCGGGTCGTCGGCGAAAGAGCAGCTGGTTACTGCTTAACATTAATGTTGTTTGGGACAGGATCTCACGTCGACCGACAGGTAAGCTTTGCTAACGTCTTAACAGCCGGAATTATCAAGTTGACCTATTTGTTATTTAACTTACCGTCCTTATTACGTTTTTAATGAATACACAAGTGACTTTGTGCAAAGTTTATGCACATATACTGTTTCACTGGGGTTGTTTTTATTAACTAGCGAGTCGTTTAGACCGGTTTTGTGAACCGATTCACTACAAAGATCCGATTCAAAAGAACAATTCGGTTACGATTCACCATCATTTGCGTTGTTCACAACATCGTTATTTCAAAAGTTTTGGTTTTAACTAATCCATACCTGTACATGCTTGAACTGTATTACATTTCACGACTCTTCAGGGTCTTGTATGGCATGACAGGTATGGTCACTTAGTCTGTGTGTACTGTTCAAGTATTTGTTGACAACACACTGGTTTGGCTTCTTCCATTATTAATTTCCTTCGTTTTACTGTCAAATTACTGTCAGCGAAACAAGATTTCATTCTATGTACACATTGGTCTGACATGGCAGCGGTTTATGATACTGAGCATCAATAGTATGCTCCAAATGTGGTATATTTGTAACTGTATTATGCTTTTAGAGACAAAATCTTTTAAAGGGCCAAACAAAAGTATACCTTGTGAGGTCTTACAATGATTGTTTTAAGTGTAACAGTTTATTGAAGCTTTAGACAAAATATTAAAAACGTTTGCATATGTGTTTTACAGTATGTTTAGTATCATATCTGGCAAATCAAACTTGTATGACCATAAAAGCTTGATGCATCAGATATGATACATATACATGACACTGGAGAATATGAAGTGTACAATTGATGAGGAAAATAGAGCAATTTTATTTAGAGACTCATACAGAGCAAATATTTGGTGCAGTTACTGATATCTATATTATGGTGATATTTATTTATTACAGTAGACTACTTGTAGTTGTAACTAGTTGTAATATTTAAATGCTTATAAATATTAGTTGTCGCTCCATATCTTCTAATAATATGTCTTGATAAGATGATATTTAAATGTTTTATTGTATGATCTAAACTTTGTAGTTTTAATTATGGGGGACAATACATGTAATACAATGTTATATAATAATGATTTAGAGATGTACAAATAAACTTTTCCCAAAAGCCTGATGTATCATATTTGATACTTATATTTTAACCTGATTTTGGAACTTATGTTTACTTGATTGGATGTTTTTAGAATTAGCCTATACTAAAAGGCCTTTTACTTGCTAAAAAAAAAAAAAAAAGTATAAACTATCAATCGGACAACAGAAGGCATGTAGAAGATTGTGTGCAACAGCGTTTTCAGCAAAGTTTTGATCATGTGGATAATGTAGACGGTTTAGAGATTCAAGTTTGAAATATGATACTAGGCTTTATAAACACTTCTGGTCATAAGACATTTACATTTACAACTGCCAAGCAAAAATGTACATGAGACATCAAGTCTGAACTTTCCTGTTGATAACTGTGTAAAATACATCAACTGCTTTTTTTCCTAGACTTGTCAGTGGCAAAAGTACATTTTCTCACAAAATGATTTTTGACACCAGGCATTGTTTTTGTGGTCTTGATGTGAATCTTGGGTTCCAGATCAGTTGTAGCCGGCTGTCAGTTTAAGTGCAGAATCTTTAAAGACTAAACTCCTACTTCCTTTTATTTTTCACATGTGCTTTTAATGCGTACCTCAAACAGATTCTTGCAACAGTTGGGTGTAATAAACAAGGCCCTTGTCAGATTTGGTAAGGCTGATTAAAGCAGAGATAGCCTGTTATGCGGCAATGTGAGGAATGCCAGGTTTGTAGTGCATTCAATACTGTTAAAAGTCATCATTTTCTCACTGTCAAGTTGTTTGATATCTTTATGGATTTCTTTCTTTGGCTGAACAGCACAGAAGATATTTTGAATAATGTTGTTTTCACCACTGTGGAAATCAATGCAGACCATCAACTGTTCAGTTACCAACATTCTTCAAAATATCTTCTTTTATGTTCAGTATAAGAAGCTCACAAAGACCTCCAGGAACAACTGGAGGGGAGTAAATTATGACAGAAATGGCTTTTTTCCCATTGCGTTTCCATTGAGATTTGTATGGAATCCCGTTTCCGCCACTGAATTAAAAAAAAAAAAAAAAAAAAGTTTTTTCGACTTTTTATCTCACAATTCTGACTTTTTCACAGAATTGTGAGATATAAACTCGCAATTCTGACTTTTTTTCTTAGAATTGCAAGATATTATAAACTCACAATTGCGAGTTATAAAGTCA